CCCCAAAACCCCAAAACCCCAAAACCCCACGCCCAGGTTTTATAATTGATTATTATTCCCATTCTTATTCTCAAAATGGAAGGTTCAGAGCTGCCTCAGCAGAAAGTAAGCATTTACGTTGAAGACTTCATGGACGAAGAAGAAGAGAAGCTGAAGTTTCAACAACCCTTGCCAGTTAAGAAGACGAAAGACAAGTTTGATAAGGAAAGTGGGGTTTTGAGGTTAAAGGTGTCCTAGCGAGGAGATTGGGCCTTTAAGAGATTTTTGTGATAAATGGGTTGGTAGAAGGCGGATTTTGAGGAATTTTATAGACTTTATGAGGGAGGTTGGATTCTGAGAGGTTAAGGCCTTGGGAGTGGTATGAGGAAGGAAAGGATTTGGAGCTTAAAAGATACAGAAATGTATATCGAAGAAATTTAGACTACTTCTTATGGTTTATGTATTTTTGACATTTATCAGAATAGCTTACTTATCTGATTTGTAGCATATCAGTTATAGCTTCCTATTTTAGCAAAAATTTTGGAGAATTCTAGATTAATAGCCAAACTTCTATCTAGAAAATAAAGGACAGTTTCAAGCTAAAATAAAGAACTCTTCATCTACCAAAGAACAGGCTCTGTATACGAATTCTATGAGTTTACAGGTAAAGTTTTAGGTGAGGGAGGTTTCGGCCAAGTGCATGAAGTCAAAGAGAAAGACACTGGCCGCCTCCTCGCCTGCAAACAAATTCCCAGATCCAAAATCCGCAACCAAATGCGATTCATCAACGAAGTGCTTGCTCTCAAGAACTGCGATCATCCCAACATTGTCAAGCTATATGAAGTGTTCGAAGAAGAACACGATGTGTTTTTGATTCAGGAGAAACTCAATGGCGGCGAACTCTTCGACTACATCACAAACAGAGACTACTTGACAGAGGCCGAAGCAGCCAAAATATTTTCGCAGATCATCAAGTCTCTGATTTATTGTCACAAGATGAAGCTGACCCACAGAGACTTGAAGCCAGAAAACTTTATGTTCAAGTCTAGCAAGCCTAACTCTACATTGAAGCTCATCGATTTTGGGTATGCTAGGATTTTCCAGAAAGAGCCAAATGATGGAAAAGCAAAGATATTGAGAATGAGATCCAAAGTCGGTACTGAGAACTTCATGGCTCCAGAAATGATCCTCCGCAACTACTCCAGCTCCTGTGATATCTGGGCTGCCGGAGTCATCCTCTACATCATGCTCTGAGGATTCTACCCGTTCGAAGGCGAAGACGAAGAAGAAACTTTCAGACTCATTGAGAACATTGAGTACGACTTTGACGATGAAGTGTTCGATTCTATCTCAGACGAAGCCAAAGACTTGATCAGCAAGATCTTGACACCAGAGAAAGACAGGATCACACTTGAACAGGTTCTCGAACACCCTTGGATCATCAAGAACCTTGAGGAGCCTGATGATGGAGCCATCAACACAAACCTGATTGACAGACTCAAGAAGTTCTCAAAGAGCACCAAACTCCGTAAAGCAGTTGCAACTCTGATTGCAACACAGGTGACAGACCGGAGTGTGTTCGAAAGCACGAATGCCTTCAACAAGATCGACACCAACAAGGACGGCTACATCACTCTGGACGAGCTTGAGAGAGGAATGGCTTCTCACCCGACTCAAGTCAAGCACATCATGGATCAAGTCGACACTGACAAAAATGAAAAGATTAACTACAATGAATTTATTGCCGCAACTTTAAAAGACAAGACTCTAAAGAACTGTTTCAGTATCAACAAAGCTTTCGATTTCTTCGACAAAAACAAAGACGGCCAGATTGATAAAGACGAGCTACAGGAAATCCTCCAAGACTCAGACATTGATAGGGTGGAGACCAACATCATCAAAGGGATTCTCCTTGAATGTGATGTTAATAACGATGGAGTGATTGACAAGAAAGAATTTTTCAGATGAATGAGTCTTAAGAGACAAGATCCTTAATACTTTCTCATATAAATTGTTTGCTTCAATTTTCATTTGTCATACATTTCCTCACTTGATCAAATGGGACTAGAAAATAGCTCTTGTAGTTGTGAATTGAAGTGACTAACGCTTAAAAATTTCGACATTAAATAATTTAACACAAACATGATTATATAATTAATGACTTCTTTCATCAAATCTAGCTTCCCAAGGGGTTTTGGGGTTTTGGGGTTTTGGGGTTTTGGGG